ACATCTCCATCCCTTGCTTGATGGAGGTAAGAGGTGCACTATTTCAGTGCAATCCTCTCCAGACGAGCAAGGATGGCACTCACCTTCACATCCTCATCACATTTAAACCCACTTAGGTAGGTTCTCTGTGCAGTGACCCAATCTGCAACATCCACCTTTGGGTCCTCGCCTGAGAACATGGGTGGAGGGGTCAGCTTGGGCCGCTGCATGTCAAATGGAGCTGAGGGTTGTGAAGTTGTTGTTGACTTGGGTGCAGAAGGAGGGGATGAGGGTCTGGATTGTGGGGTTTGTTGGGGTCCCACTTTGGAGGCCCCAGGAGATGGAGGAACAGTCAGGGTGGTTGGGATATGAAGATGGGTGAAGATCTTATCCAATTTGGAAGCGATGTCATCCAACTTTTTAGAAAAAGTTGAGTGACTGCGTTCCAACCTGGTAATCCTCTCATCCCAGTTAGTAAAATAGGACCGGTGAATGTTATCGTGCAAGAGGATGAACTCTGCCATGTCCTTATTGTACTGACTGGAGGATGCACTCACCCTGGAGGAGGCTCACATCGGAAGCCTCTCCCTTCTCTGAGCCAGACATCTTAAATTTCCCACAATACAGATAAATAAAATCAAATGAAATAAGAAACAAAAAAAGAAGTTAACAGGAATTGGGTTTTCTTTGCAGTACTTGCCCGATTGTTGTCACCTGACTGGAGAGAGAAATTGGTTAGAATGAGCAGGTAGGTTTTCAGTCTCTGCAGACCGCTTGAGGGTCAAGGTTAGTTTACAAATCACTCAGCAAAAATCAATTTCATGATTTTTCATTCACTGCCCTGACACATCAATTGCATGCAATTACTGCAAATCTTGTATTAATTATTTTCATGATGCAGTCTTGGAATGGTTAGTAGTGATTAGTAGTTAGATAGAGAGACTAATTAGTGACAGACAAGTATCTACTGATGACCAAGATACGACGATTTACAGGGTATGCTATTTTTAGATTTTACCCTACCGACTTCACCATTGAATGACCCTTTATGCCATACCCAGGGTATGGCGAATTACAGTTATCACTGTAACTAACTCAACACATCAAATCTGATCGTGCAATTTCAAACACTGACTCACTACTAAATTGCGATTTCACAAGGACTGACAAAACTGAATTCTGACGGACAGAACCAAGTTATGACTGGCCATAGTCAGACCAAACTTCAACTATGGCAGCACAGAATTCAAACTCTCAATATTACTGACAACAAGGCTCTGAACAATCCAATTCACTGCACAGTATGAATCGCAATACTGTAAAGAAGTCCCGGACGAAAGTTGAGTCAGGAAGGAGGTCAAACAAGGCTAGTAGAAGTCAAAGAAGATAGGTAGGGGAAGTTGGATATGGCTGTCCCACAGTCTGAATTTCAATTTTCAACTGTCTACTGACCGCCAGGCCAAATTTCACTATTCTAAAAATAGCCCCAAAGTCACCACACAAAGTAGAGTAAGGAACACACTTACTTCAGGGATATCTCTGAAGGGGATAAATGAAACCCTGAGTATGGCTGTCTCCTTAGACCCATCTCACCAGTCTCTTCCCCTGACTATACCCAGTGTTCCCAGATACCAAACTTCTTGAAACTTGGTGATCATGTAGTTCTTCCTAAGGCGCTTCAACCCCAACTAACAAATTCAGTGAATCTGGACTCCCAGATGCCAATAACCGAGACACTAAGTGCAGCGCTGCTCCAACCTGCACTGCGCTGCTTGGAAATTGGGGATCCTAACCCAATTCCAAAATCGCAACACCCTGGGGTCACTTCCTTGCCAATCGTCAGTTCCAGATGAATCGCCAGGCTAAAAATAGCCTCCTCAAAGCCTCCCAGGCCTCTGAGCATCAATCGCCACTCCTCCTGCACAACCCTAAGCAGGAGTGTGTCGCCCTCTGTCCAATACCTCTCGCCACACACTCACCACCACCACTCTTACTGTCGCCAACCTTGAAGATGACAAATCGCCATGAAGTTTAACTCTAGAATCTCCCCAGATGATGATGGTTGCTCCGACTCATCAATCGCTTCACTGTCTGGATCCAATCGCTCAGATACCAACTGTATGAACCTGGTTGTTTGTTGTCAGCAGACCAACACTCGCTCACATAGACTTCCAGGTATGCCCATACATACACAGAAGGAAGGGGAGAGGATGGGAGTATCACACCGCACAGGGAGAGATAGACACAGTGGAAGACTTGACCATGCGATATGACAGGAAACACTAAAAGTGCAATTTGCTACAAAAAATCCTCACAACCAATCACAAAGGAAAGCCGAGTAGATCACATCCTGAAAACAATGAAGCAAAGATAGTTCGCACACAGTATTTACACTGTTTATTAAACTCAGAGTCTCGAAATGTCAGAATAAC